CCCAGCGCGCCCCTCTGGGCCCGGGAAGCTCCTTTGTGGAGCCCTTCCATCGGCGGGCTCCTCCAGCGCCAGCTGGCTGGCTCGAGGAAGCACTGGCCTCTGCCCCTTTTAGGATTTGATGGTGAAAATGCCGCTGTTAACGTCTGTTTTTCTAAATTAAGAAATATGGAGGTTTAGTTAACCCACAGTGGTGGTTGTGTTTTGAAGTCCCGTAGTTAATTTATGGGGAAAACAAAGGGGCTGTTGTGCTTGCAGGGGGCGATTTTATCGTGAACGTGAGCTTAGCGCTAGAGAAACCGCACTCGATCACGGAATATTGTATCTTGACTGATCTGGTGCGTGGTAAAATTAACATCTATTTTTGGCCTGGCTTAGGCTGGATTGGGAATTGGGATAAGAGTTATAAAATGATTCGTAAGTTAGAATTTCTTAAACGGTCCATAAAAAGATTTTAGTGTTTGTACATCCCCCTCCAGTAATTCTTGTCTACATTTTCTAGTTATTCTTTGTACCAAAAGCAGCTTTTGCTCTGTTTGCAGAGTGTCTAGCCTAATAAATTTTGGGGTGTGCTTTGGGCTCTGAAGTCACACTAAAAATGTGGAATTCCCAAGGCCTTTCAGGTTTATGATTGCCTAAGGATTTTTTGGGAATGTGAATGACCTTCAGCGGCTTGCAGAGTTTAATCCACACCACCCTGCAGAAGAAGGGTGATTTTTTTGGGGGAGGCACGCTTATTTATTCAGTCAATGAAGTACTCTTGAACTTTTTTTGTGTTGTAAGACTGAAGTGCTCTAATTAGGTGGCTGACAGCTGTGTAGTAATTAGCAATGCACAGGCTATTGCCTCTGTTTTTCTTCCAAACCAAAGGGAGAATTCTATTTAGGGGATAACCTGGAATCTTTATCCTAAAGACATTTGCAGGGCAACTGTCCTTAAATAATATCTGTGAGGTTTTACAGCAGATTTCATGTTTCTCTGCTCTCAGGCTGAATATGGATCCACAAATGCTGGTGGATAATGTCTCAGTCCTGGGTTCTGCTGTGACAGCCGTTCTGGGTTTGCGTGGTCTTGGTGAATACCAAGTACCTGAAAGGCCTGTTAAGTGAGCTGTGGGTAAGGCTCACGGTGATCTGTCACCAGCATGGAATTTTATTCCAAGAAACTTGAAAATAACCCCACCTCCTGAGAGCAATGCGGCAGGCAAAGGGCTGCATTGTAGGGCGTGTTTCTGGCTGTGTTTGGGCAGTGCTGCTCACCATGGAGAACCCCTCAAATATTTCCAAACTCTGTTCTCCAAGATCCACACGAATTTATTGGCAAGTCCATATTCATCTAAAGGCTTACTTAAATCGATTTTTGCAACGTAGCTGCTGTTGAGCCCAAGACTTTGAGTCCAGGACTCTGGGAGGTTGCCCCCAGCTATGCCAGCTCACGTACCAGTATCAACTTGAGACGATTTAGCTCTGCTGCAAAAGGACAAATTTTTTCTCGAATCTGAATTCTAAAGGCTTTCATAGTCACTGATTGCAGCTCCTGATTCTTACTGCTGTCAGGCCAGAAGCAGGGCACAGGCTTGCAAGTAAATACTGGTTTTCTTCAACTCTTTGCAGACATGGCTCAAGAAGAGATGGAAGTTGATCTCCGACCAGTGGCTGCTCACTCTGCAGAGGACCTCAGGACGCTTCCCATGGAGCCCTCTGCTCACACAGTGCTGTCGTCCCATGCTCCGGTGCTGGGTGAGGGAGGAGGCAGCCATGCATAACACCGTTCTCACCCCAGACACTGGTACCACGAGGGAAGTGGCTGCTGAGCCTGACCCGCAGCTGAGCCCTGCCTGGGCTCTCAGCAGGCTGCAAAGGCTACGAGGGGCGTTGGACCTGCATCGGCCAGTGCCACAGGTCCCACAGCGCCCGCCAGTGAGGAGAGCTCGCAGGCAACAGAGGGTTGGTGGCTCCCAGAGGACAGTCGGTGCCAGGTAAGGCAGAGATGAGATTGGGTCTGACTTATCAAGTCTGCCATCAGTGGAAGAATTCCTGGCTGATGGAGCCCAGCTCAGTCCAGGCGAGGGGTTGTGGCCAAATTCTGGGCGGTTCACGTAACGTTTTGAACTCGGTGATGGCACAGAGCTCTCTGATCTCTGCTGGCAGGATCTTTGCCCTTGTTGAATGAATCCCCCCGTTTCTTACGTTGGCAGTGTCGTTGTTGACTTCTGAGCCCTTCTGTGCTTTCTGACCTGCTTGCAGAGCTGCTGTTCCCTCTGCTCTGCCAGATTCCCGCCGGTGCTTCCTGCAGCAGTGCTGACTCGTGGCAGTTCCAGCCAGCATTTAGCTCAGTGGAGCCTGTGCTCTGTTTTGCGTTTCACCTTTGATTTTGGGATTGCCTGACTAAGTCTTCTGGTGACAGTTGCTGCAGAAACTTCCACAAACATGCAAACTAGCTTTGTTTTTTCTGTAGGGTTTTTCTTGTTACCTCCAGGCCAAGATAAAGTATTCTGTGTTAATACTATTTGTGATGGGGTTAAAAGGTGATGAGTGGGGATGCTCTGCAGCCAGAAAGAAATCCATGTTTCTGGTTTGTTTGGTTTTTGTCTCATCTTTGCAGATTTTTTTTTTTTTTAAATGTCAAGGTTGAAATTATAATTAACTGAAGCATTGCCTTTAAATTCAGAGAGATCAAGAACTCCTGTCCTCCCAGATGATTAAACATCACGGTACTGTTTGCCCTTGGATTGCGCGTGAAGGTCACTGTAGTTCTCAGGGCTAGAAGGCAACCTGGAAAACTTCTCTTTTGAATCTGAAGGATAATTGAGATGATAGCTGAACTGATGTGGGGAGAGGGGAGGATGTTTCTATCCAGAGATGAAGTTCCAGTAGAAAACAAGAGGGAAAGTAGAAAGACTGGGCACAAAGTAGGCGATGGAATGAGGCTCTGATGCAAGCCTCGTGCATCTCATATGACCACTGGCTACGGGAACCAGGCCTGAGTTAGGGTTGGAGGTATTGATTAGTTGTTCCTTAGGCTATTTCTTCTTGTTTCTTCTTTGCTTTTCTTCTCTCCACCAACACCCCACCCCAAAAGAAGATGGCATCGTTGTAACGAGGAGATTTTCTTTGAGCCAAGCAAAATGAATGGTTGCTGTATGATACTGCTGCTTGTTCATAAAGTGGGCAGTTGTATGGCATTGCCCCTCTACCAGAGAAGGTCTGTCTTGGTACCTTCCTGTTGCTGTCAGAGCCTAGGAGTTTTGCTGGAAACAAGCACGTGGAAACTTTCTGAGTCTTTAGCTTACTTGAAATAACTGTGGCTTTTATTTCTTGCTTTTCGGAACACAGGGCAGCGTTGGACAGTTACTTTCAGCTCAGCAGGACCCAAGAGCCAGCTACAGCCAGCTACGCTGTTCTGCACCTGGAGCCCTCGCGTGTCGTGAGGGACCACCAGGAGCACAGCTCAGATGAAACAATTGAAGTGAGCGACTCCGACGGCAGCGCTTCCGCTGAGGACGAGGAAGCCGTGGAGGCTGCAGCACCGCTGGTGCCCTCAGCCCAGGAGACACCTCCAGAAGGTAGCTCAGGAGGTTTGTGCCGTGTAGAGACTTACTTCAGAAACTCCTCTTTCTGCTTCAGAACTCAGTGGGGAGATCCTTTCAAGCTTCACAACAGACGGTGCTAAGACACCATTGTGCCCACAGCTGACAGGAGCAGGTTGCTACCACAAGGCTTTCTGGCAAGCAGTTCCTCAGAGCAGTAGCAGTGATGGGTGATTGCTACCCCTACAAACTTTTTGCTATTTGCAAGCTGCTGCTTATGAGGAATCCTGGAAATGTTCAGAATAACTTCAAGTTTAGAGATTAGTACTTGGAACACTTCCTCTGTTGTATGTTACCAAGGAGTATTACTGAAGACGTCAAGTCATGTCTCTGGAGATCAGCAGTGCTTTCTGTTTTCAGAGAAGGATCCGTTTGTGAAGTTTTTTAATTATTTGAGATTTCAGTCTGCTTCAGTTTAGAGTTTTCTTTTTATTCCTGTAACTTACTTTATATATATATATATAAGCTGACGAGGTGGACATACTTAGGACAGTGGGCTCTTTGTCTTTTTCTTTGGCTTTTTATGACTTTCAGCCCTTTATCCAGGTTCATGTTCACAGGCTGCCACGCACTTCAGTGACACTGTTTATGATGAACATATGCAGTTTATGTAAGAGTGGCAAATGGTTGGCTTGCTAGTCAAGGTTATTGATACTCAGAGAACGTGAGAACAAGATTAGATTTTTTACTTCAGTCTCTAAGGAATGTCCTTATGCCTCACTCTCTGCCCTTAAGTTTTGGGGTTTTTTTGGATTGGCCAACCCACCTCGACACCTGTTTTTTGAGGGGATATCTATAAAGTGTCTTTTAAACAGATTCATTCTGCTTGCTCTGAGCTAGTCTTACACGTGACAGGAGCTCAAGCTGTTAAGTGCTGTCTAATATTGCATGAACATATGCTCTCTGTTGGGTTTTCTGGAATTCCCTTGTCTTTTTTTTTTTGCTTATATAAGCCACTGGTTCCTGTTCAGCCCAGAATTACAGAGGCTGAAAACTGTATTGATGTTAGCTAGGGTTAGGTGGTACCTCTCTGCTGGATTGAGAACATCTGCCTCAAATACTAAACGTGACTAATAACTTTTGTTTTGTCAGGAGATGGAGGAGACAGTGATTTCTGCTCCTTTTTTTAGTATGCTAGCGGTGGTGATCCAAACGTAGCGTTTCTGTGTGCCCATGCTTCAACAGAAGGGCTAACAGAGGCCCACCACAAAAACATATGGCCCAGCAGAACTGGTGGTTCAGATAACTACCAGCTGGAAAACTGCTTAAGTCAGGGTGAATGGACAGATAGCATACGGTAAATGCTTTCTTGGCACATGAAATATGCATGCTTAGATCCCTTGGCGAAACAGTTTCTTCATACTGGTGTCTGTCTTTCTCTGGGCATAATGGTGCAGGGTTGTATTCCTAAATCAGCCCAACTATAGACCTGTACCGCAAATATGTTTCCAGCAGGTCAGAATATCTTGATAACAATTGCTGTCTTTAAAAGGCCTCTCTCTTCTTTTTTTTTTTTTTTCACTGAATGTGCTAAAATTCTGCTGCTTTCTATAAAAGAAAGCATAAAGTTCTTCATTGGTGAACAGAAGGGCTTACACACCAACTGCCTGAACTTCTGCATCCAGGACACTGATCCGAAGCTTTGTATGTAACCTGTGCTGTTGTTGCACTGCGCACCTGTGCCCCGGTGATCTCGGATCAAGTCGAGGAGAACTGCTTTCCCCCGTGTTAAGTATCAGTTCATTTAAGCAATGCGTTCTTTAGTTTCCAGCCAGGTTCAACTGGAGCCACCTCAAGCTTCTGCTGAAAATGGAAGTCATGAAGATGAAGAGGCTGAAGTCCAGCAACAGCAGGTAAGGTGACCTAGATGCTTTTGGAGACAGATTGAATGCGGTAAGTGCTGCTTTTGTCTAAAAAAGTTGTGTGTTGTTTTTTTTTTAATTTTTAATCCTAGAGGACTCCACTGAAGAAAGTGGAAGCATCGGTTCCTGTTGCCCATGCTTTTGGAGACAGATTGAATGTGGTAAGTGCTGCTTTTGTCTAAAAAAAGTTGTGGGTTTTTTTTTTTTTTAATTTTTAATCCTAGAGAACTCCGCTGAAGAAAGTGGAAGCATCGGTTCCTGTTGCACCGCGGGATGAGGAGGAAGGGGATACCTGTGCCATCTGCTTTGAGCAGTGGACCAATGCTGGGGACCACCGTCTCTCAGCACTGCGGTGTGGACACCTGTTTGGTTACACGTGCATTGAAAGGTGGCTCAAGGGACAGGCAGGGAAGTGTCCCCAGGTAAAATGGACATTTATGTGCACTGGGAAGGACTTGCTGTCGGGTAACTTCTGCTACAGGCGTAGTCATCGTAACTGTTACAACTGCTTGCTGCATGAAGAATCCACCTTTGCCTGCTGTCAGAAAGAACAAAAATCACCGTTATTTTGATGTAACTAGGCCAGGAACAACTAGCGCTGCTTTAAAGGGAGAATTCTGACTTGGATTTTCTCCCTGAGTAGAGCATTTGTGAGTAGCAGACTCAGAAGTTTGAGAATTCAAGTGCTAAACCCATAAATGGTTTCAGAACACTGCACTGTGGCCCTGGAGTGTGGGAATGGCAGACAGATTCCTAAAAGCAGTTAACCTAAGCATAAGGAATATGCTACTGGACAAGAAATCTGTTTGAGAACAGTTTTCAGTTGGTTAATCTTCTGTTTTGAACAGCATCTGCTTTTGCAGCCTTCAAGCAGAACAGGTTGTGTAGGTAACTTGCAGAGAGCGAAATGAGAAACAAGTTGCGTCTTTCCATGTCCATTTGCAAGTGGTAGATCCGCTTTTTATGGTGCTCTTTTCAGTTTTGTTTCCGTAGGTAATGATCTCTTTCAGTTAGGTCTACACTTCTCTGTGATGTGCTACCATTCCTTATTCCTTTTCTCCAGAAAGGAACGTTGACAAAAAAATAGGTCAACGAGTACCTTGTAAATAGGATTCAGTTTTGCCGCTTTCCAAGGCAGTGGCTGGAAGCCCAGGATTTCTTTGGCTTTGTCTTTTGAGAGCTTCCATGGTCTTGCTCGACTTTGTGCAGGATTCCCTCCTCTCAACAAGAAACTTCCTGTCGACGTGTGCTGTGATTAAACCTAAAGAATCAACCGTTGCCATAGCAAAGGCCCAAACCTTGTTTTTCTTATCCCTGTCAGTTCTGTGTCAGCTTTTCTTCACCCACTTCAGGCCCAGAGAGAAATCTCTGAGACCTTCCTGGCATCTTTGCTCTTTGGAATTTTGTGACCGCTTTCTTCTTGAACCCTAACAACTCATAAAGGTTGCTTGCTCACTCTTTATCTTCCAGTGATGTAAATACTGAAATTTTCCTGGGAGAACTTCTTGCTCTGGAGAGGACCTTGCAGCTACATCATCTTCCCTTCGTTTTCAGTCGCTGTCCTTTACGACTGGGCATTCTCTAATTGAGTGGCACAGAGCTGCTGCGCGTGGTGCTCTGTGTACTAAGTGGCTTGAGTGCAAGTTCCTGTGAAATTGCAGCATTCCTGATCCTGCCAGTGACAGCTGCTGGCTGCCAGGAAAGCCATCTTAGCCACTTACTGCTCTGCAAGGCAGCTCTTTACGAAGGGAGGGGGCTTTGTCTGGTCTGAAGCTGTTGCCCGTGAAATCTTCGTGCTACTAAATAATAGAGAAGCCCGCGGTTAAGCGCACAGAGTAATTTAATGTTCGGCAGGGGTTACTTGATCTGAGTATTTGCTGCCTCTCTTCTGATCAACAAAGTGTATTTGCAAAGCAGTAAGCTTGCAGATGCCATAAGTTGTTTCCAACCCCCAACTCGGGGGGAGGTATTACCTCTTCTTTTTAAGGTCTAAATCTAAACTACTATATGGTCACAGCCAGACGCAGAAAATTATTGAAATATCTGACTCCCCATGTATTGCTGAAATCAGTGGGATGTCAGTGTTTCTCACTGATACTGGAATGTTTTTATGGATTTGGGCCTATAGGATTTGATCAAAGGAATATAGTACGTAAATAACAGAGCTGGGAGTATACTCAGGGGTTCCCAAAGCAGCCAGTCTTGATGTTTTCAAAACAGAAGTTGGGCTGGTGTTTTCTTTTAGATCTTTTTTCCCTCCCTTTATCTGATTTTTTTTGTTTGTTTGTCTCCCTGGAACTTTCCTGACCGGGCTGCGTTGCTGGTGCTTTAGCAGAATGAATTTGGTGGGAAGCAAGGAGATGCATCGTTAAAGGTGCAATAGGACACACGACCTAAACTGTTGCTGTGGCCCCAATTAGAGCTCTGGTGTCTGTAGGAGGGAGTGTCTTGCAAACATGCTGTGTTCTGTTTGTGTTTTTGTGGATTTGTTGTCAAATAGACGGCCCCTCCCTTCAAAGCTGTCAGAATTCTTCAAAATAACACCTAGCAACTTGCAGGAATGCGTGGTTTGGATAGTTAAAATCCTACAGATGAACTGAACTTGTCTCTTATTACAGTGCAATAAGAAAGCGAAACGTTCCGATATTGTGATCCTGTACGCTCGCACTCTGAAAGCGCTGGATACCAGTGAACAGGAACGCATGAAAAGGTACGGAGTCTCCGTGTAGAGATAAGACCTCACTGCTTGCATGCCATGGAAAACTGCAGTCTGGCTTCCACGTCACGCTTGAATTTCCTGTGTTGTCTAAAGCAATTTGCGCATTCCCATGGGGATTATCCTGAGTGTGGCTGGTTGAACAAACCAAGACCTCGCTGGGTTGCATGGGTCTTACCTGGAAGGAGAATTTTCTTTTGGAAACAGGATTCTTGAGTTTTGTGCTTTGTGGCACTGAAATAGCAAAATCTGCGTTGTGCTGTGTCCTGAAATGTCGTCACGGGAGAACACGCGGAGTCGTTGCCATAAAGCCATATATTGCTAATTCATCATTAGAGGAGAAAAGCGAGGCGTAGTTAGAAATGCAAGGCAGGTGAATAGCTGACCTTTTCTGCCATCTTTTCTGCATGGCATTAAACAGAGTAATCTCTCATATGAATCACTTTCCATCTTGCTTTGTCAAACTCTTCATGTAGCTTTACTTACAAAAGGTCAGCAAGCATTACTATGGCTCTACTTCTCCCTCACGACTTCAATGTAGGCTTTTTATTGGAAAAAAAGAAAAGCAGGGATGAAAATGGAGACTAATTTCTTTTCAGTAAGATGCTGTCACAGATACTCTTCTGAAATTAAAAGGCTGCAGGTATCTGAGTTCTTGTAGCGAATAGAATTTAATTGGGGTCGTCTTTATCCTGCTGTTCTTTCAGCGCAGTCTTTCAACAGAAACCTCACTATCCTGGTAATTATTAATCAGAAATGATTGAGGAGTAACTGTCACAAAGGGAAAATCTCTTCTGTCCAGATTGTGACCGCCTGGTGGTGTTTGAACTGTACCTGCAGAAGAGTCACGCTTCTTTCACTGGCTTGACACTGCAAAACAAATGATAAATAAGATTTTGTTTTCGAAAGCACAGAAAGCATTTGGGTGTTTAAACCTTGATATCTCTCAGGGAAGGGTAGTTGTCTGACTGCTGCTTGTGTCTCAGAACCTCACTGCAGCCCTTCCCCGCTTGCCCTACACCTCTGCTGCCTCCTGTTTCTGTGGGGAGGCAGATGGCAACAACTGCCCACCGGCCCAGAGAAGGCGCTGGCAGTGGCTGCTTGGTGGCACCCAGCCACGAGTGGAGGACAAACGCGGGCACCGATGCACGCATCGATACTGCGTGGGCGTAGCCTTGAATTAGGTTATAAGATCATGGGTTTTGTTCTTCACATTCAAAAAAAGCCAGCCTTCAGGCCCTGGGTACTTGTGGAAAGAATGTTTGTGATGGTTAAATACAGCATTTGACCTGTTGCTTTTGCAACAACAATTCTGTGGAGAAGCTG